CACTGAAGCTTGCATCAACAACTCCCCGGCAGGCTAGTGGGCAATCTTTCGGCGAAAACATCACTGAAGTTGCATCAAAAAATTCCCAGGCAGCCTAGTGGGCAATCTTCGGCGAAAACACTCACTGAAGCTTGCATCAAAACTCCCCAGGCAGGCTAATGGGCAATCTTCGGCGAAAACAGTCACTGAAGCTTGCATCAAAACTCCCCAGGCAGGCTAGTGGGCAATCTTCGGCGAAAACACTCACTGAAGCTTGCATCCAAACTCCCCAGGCAGGCTAATGGGCAATCTTCGGCGAAAACACTCACTGAAGCTTGCATCCAAACTCCCCAGGCAGGTTAGTGGGCAATCTTCGGCGAAAACAGTCACTGAAGCTTGCATCAAAACTCCCCAGGCAGGCTTGTGGGCAATCTTCGGCGAAAACACTCACTGAAGCTTGCATCAAAACTCCCCAGGCAACCTAGTGGGCAATCCTCAGCGAAAACACTTCCTGAGTGGATTGGCCACAAAAACGTCCAAACATGTTATTCTTAACCACTAAAAAAGGTCCACGCCCCCCAACATGTATAAAGTTCATCACCTCAGGAAGTGCGACGCACCTCCTCGAAAGTTCCGCGCGCATCGCAACACGGGAAAGCCCTCCCTGATGGCATCGGACCAGACCGAGCTGCGTGGTGGTCTTCAGCTTCATGACGCGGGCATCGGCGGACACCTGACAAAACTCGGTTGTGAAATCTGCTCCCCTGCTAAAAGTGACTAACTTTTAGTGGTTTAATACGGAAAACACATGAGGTGTCAAAAAGTTAGAAGGCCTAACATCCAAGCAAAATGCATCCGTTGGTCCGCTCGAGGCAAAGAAGGTTCCTCCAATGTGGTGCTTTTCTTTAGCATAGGTCCAACAGAAATGCCTCTGGCGTCATGTGTCATGTGGAATTTTGTTCTCCGCTGAGTTTACGCTAGGTGCCCAGCAGTTGCAATTTTGGTTAAGCATCCGCATAGGTGGCCTTTTGGAAAAATAGATGGCCCTGGTAAATGGAACAAAACCCATCTAAACCAGTGCCATCTATTTTTAACCAAACACACCTAAAAAGGACGCCTATGAGCATCCGTCTGAACATTGAGCAATTAGGTGGTGAACTTTGTTCCACTCCGGGTGTTGTGGCTTCTTGCGGTGGTTCACCCCAGTCAGCTTGCCACGGATGCAACGAAAGGAAAGTGAGGAACCTCGAGAAACGCAATGAACCTCCCAGTCGTAGTTTTCTTTAGAGTAACTTCCAAAGTTGGGAAGCGGCTGTGCGGCCATGTCGCGCAGCTTTCTGCCAACATGAAACCCCCAAAAGACTTTCTGGGGCCCACTTTTGGGGAACCGTTTCGCAGGGAAAGCCTCAAAACCCCGAGTCACGCCTTGTCACCGACGCGGACTTCAAGGATGTCGCCCGGCACCACGTCTTCCGCGTCGATGGTGGTCTGGCACCGCGCGTGTGGAAGGCTGACGGCTTAGATCTGGTGGACCAACCCAACTAGGTCCTCCAGTAGAGAGGTGGCTGCGGGTCAAAAATTGGTACCCCAAATGGAATTCTGGGAAATGGAAACATGGACTACAAACTGCGGTCCCCTGGTGGTTGAATTTTGACCCATACCCAGGTTAGAATAAGTGTACCAACTTTTCTCTCTAGTCTATGTAAGGGGAACCCTCAGACCCTCCCCAAAAAATGATAAAAGGGCACTACTGGGGGACCAACCCATGCCAACATTATAAGCGGTATGTAAGGGGTATGCAAGCGGGAATAGTTCAGGGTCCAGTCACAAGGGCCGAAGAGATTTTGCCTAGACAAAGCAAGATGACCGAACCCACACAACAACGAAACTTGCCCAAACCCGATCCATACCCAAGCAAGACAACCTGACCTATCCCAAGAGCGGACAGAACAACCTGACCGAGCCCAATAGCAACCCATCACAACCTGAACATGCCGGAATCAACACATCCTAAGCCAAAAAACAGATGTAAAAGGGCACAAGCACGACCCGACCCATCTATCACCAACCCACCAGCCACCCACCAGCCAGAATGATTCCTGCAAAATGAGACTTCCCACGGCATGTCTCAAAGGGTTACCAGCTGTAAGTCTGTCCTGTCCGTTAATCAGTACTGGGTAGAGCAAACAGGCCATTTCTCATTCCCTGCTCAGAACCAGCTCGCAACCTGACGTGCCGGAGGTGCCCAGTTGCCGTCACGCAAGACCATGGCGCATTCTGGAGCCAGCCTCAATCGATAGATGCGCAGTCAGCTTTCTGCAAGGAGCCTTTGGTGCGTTGATATACCCACGAGCCCTGTGTGGCCTATGAGCCCCACCAAAGGCAGCTTTGCAGTTTAGCAAGAAGAACTTGATATGGCCAATCAAAAGGACAAGCTTCTCTCCGCAAGAAACTCCACTCATGCTCCATGGCGACTCTTGGACCATCCTCAATGCCATGAACGCGGCCAGGGGCTTGCCCTCTCGTTGCCAAGGGGCTTTTTCAGCGCATCCAGTGCCTTCTCCGCCTTCGAGTCCTTCACAACTGAATGCCACACTTTGGCTGACAGATGCCCTGGGCTCCCTATATTTCCCCTCACATCACCCCCTAAAAGGGACCCTCACCTTTCATGGTCCAAAAAGGTAGATGTTCAAAACCCCCCCCAAAAAAGGAACATCTAGGGACCCCTGTCCCACCACAGGCCATGGACACCTGACAAAAAAAGGGTCCCCCCAAGACGAAACTCATCTTCCAGATACCCTTTTCCAGGTGCCATGGCAACGTGGCAGGATTGGTACCTGTACTCCTGGCCATAAGCACTACATCCGACATGCTTCAAAATTAGACTGCTCTTCCGTGTGTGTTGCTGCAGCTTCAGAAAAGCAGGCGGTGAAAATCCGTGCCACCAGCACGCCTGGCAATGCAAAATAATGGCAAACACAACCAGAAACCAATTTGTCTCACAGGGGAATGCATGGGTGGTGTTGCTTGGGTTTCTTCAGGCAATCCCGGCTCATATGCGATGGCAAAAAAAAAAAACGCTCCTGCCAAATCGCTATGATTGCGTTCAGGACCAAGATGGTGAGAATGACAAAGGGCTCCACATAGGCCTAGCAGGCACGCCGGCAACCCCGTGGCTGCGCGGGCCATAGGTCATGTGTTTTTGCCCGTTCAGGTCGAGCAACAGAGGTGTTGCTGGCTTGTGTGCGAGCCTTTGACCGATCTCTTGCTTCCCCCGGAATTGATAAGAAGCGAGGCTCTCGCTACTTACGTGTTGTTGGGTAAAACAGGATGACTTGGTCCCGTTAGCTATCTCCCCTGTCAGGAAAGCAGGGCGCCCTGCTGCTTCGTGTTGGGAACTAAAGTGTTCCTCTCAACTGGGCCTAACTTATCCAGAAGAGAGGGAAGCACGAAGTTACAACGTTGGGCTGGGGTTGCATTTGTGTGCTGATGAAACGGTTCCGACAAAAAAGGAGCAAGCTCTTCTAGCCTTTGTGAACCTATGAAGAAACTCGTAGAAAACTGAGCGCGGCGCCTACGAGTATCTCCCTCAATTGGCGCAAAATTGTTGCTCCCTTGACCCCTGCTCAAAGGAACCGCCGATAACTACCGTCCCTTGGGAATCAGAATCTGCCCTCCAAGCCTCCAAGCCTCCCCCACCCCCCCTCCGAAATATCTGGTTTACCGGTTTACCGGTCTACCTTTTCATTTAAGGGGCAAATATGTTGGAGCAGGCCCCTTTCAGCAGCAATACTTATCCCAAACCAAAAAACAAAAACATCAAAAGGGCAAGGGGTTTGCCATGCAAATTAGCCCTTTCTCCAGATCGTTTAACTGGATTTGTTTGCACATGGGGTCAACTGGGACTTCCAAATGTCAACAAAAATGACGGCTTTCTCTGGTCTTCAGCACCCTGCCTTGAGCCCCTCCTCGGCTGACTTCTCATCGAAGAAGGCCAAAAGAAAAGAGATCATGGCCTCAGGGGAACGGATGGGAGACTCCTTTAGGCCTCCAGTAGAGAGGTTAGAATAAGGGTACCCGAGTTTTCTTCTGTAGTCTATTTTTGTAGGGGGTTCCCTCCCCCAAAAAAGGGTAAAAGGGCACTACTGGGGGACCTAGTGTAGGCATAAGCTCATCTAAACGAGTGAAACCCATCGATGTCCAACCAAACCTCTAAGAAAAGAACAACTATGGAACCATGCCCCTTCTCCCATTCGACCACCGAGCAAAAGAAACAAACTGAACAACCTTCCCGCCCCTACGCGGGCACACACTTGCCGCGCAACATGTTACACACTCCTCTTTGACTCGCTAAAAAATAGTCGGGCCATCAAGGAGAGTTGTCCTTGGCTGCAAACAGCATTTGGGCAAATTCTGGAAACGTCAAATGTTGACAAAACGTGAAACGACTGGAGAACCCGCTTGTATTAACGCAGTTGGCTGATCTGGAAGCTTGGTAAGCGCGAATGATGCAGTCCCAAACTCAATGCATAATGGCACATCTTACTGAGGCAAATTCAATCGATGTTGAGAACAAATGCTACTAATTTGTATTTGATTGTCCCATGCAATGTGTTTGCGTAAGGCAAGCCCAGCACGGCGCCCATGCAGCACCGCGGCTGAAGCTAGCAGGATCCTCACGAGGACGTCCTCGAATTGCTCAATGATCAGCTCAAGCATGGACTTCCTTGGCTTTGGCCAACACCAAAAAAGGAGCACATAAAAACCGTCCTGCTGATGCACCTGCTGATGCATACCATATGGCAATTGTGATGTACCTGCTTTTGGCTCCAACCATATATAAGAAGGATGTCAAGCAGTTGAGGAACCATTTTTGAACTGTACCTGCTGATTGCTCCAGGTTAACCATGAACTGCATGGTTCGCATTCACAAAACGTGTCTGACAGGGTGCGCGAATTCCCCGATAACCTCAAGCCCGCCATTGATGCACTGGCGACCCCGGCAGGTGGATGTTGTGGAAGGTTTCGCCAGTTTGGGACTAGGTGACCACTGTGTCTTCTCAGCAACAAAACCGGTGTCCACGAATCCTTTCTGTTGAAAATACAATTTCTGGGATGGGTTTTGCAAGGACGTAAGTTTGTAAGACTGTGTCAGACAGTGCCGCCACCATACCTCTAACCTCCAGACCAACTTCCCCTGGCTCTGGGAGCCATGCTGCAATGTGGGAAATATGAAATATTTATCAAAAGCAAGGCCGGACCTATTTGCTTTGACGAGTCAGCCTTGCACAGCAAGCACGTAAATTCAGGCCCAGTGGCCTCTCCTGCTCTTGGAGAGCATTCGGCCCGTACCTGGGAAAGTTTTGAGGCCATATGCTGGCCCTTCCCCGCGACAAAAGCAGTGCAGCAATAAAGTACATCTCAGAACTTACTTGGATTGCTCTGATTTAGTGCCGATGCAAACGGCGGGGATCATGATGCCATGTCATGGGCCCTGCGCGTGGTGCGCGCGGAAATTTTTATCGGGCGGTATCGGTTTAGCCCTGATTTACTCTCCGAGATCTAGCGATTCAGGTTGAGATTGCTCAGGGGAGCACGAGTTAGTTAGGGACCCTTCAAGTGCACTGGGCTAAGGGGGCTATGTTGCTATAGCAGGTGAGCCAATGGTCAAATGATGCTCTGGAAATCTCTGGAACGCCGCTGGTGCGGAATGCTCGTCAGCTGGGCTCCCATAATATGCCAAAAGACCACTAGCCTTTCAAAGACCGCGTGAGCACTTGGATTTTACCCGAGATGATCAAACAAACAAATCACCATGTTCATCCGGGATCAATTCACCCCTTTGAATGGTACACTATTCCATTCCGCGAGACATCCACTCACGGTACAAATCCCTGTGACAAGAAACGGAACTAGTTGATCCAAGTCGACATATCAAATCTGAGGGGCAGTAGGCCTACTCAGTTGCCCAAATGTCACCCCCGAGCAAACAGGCAAGAGGCTGGCAAAACAAGTGTTGATAGTGGAACTGTGCTATTCGTCAACGACTTTGGCTCCAAGAATCATGCAAGTTTGTCTACAGGATCATATTTGTTGTTGTCCTTTTTGTCTTGCAAACTAGCGACTGTCCAACTAATTCCTTCTGAATTGCCCTTCTCTAGGGAACCTGGGCAAGCCGACGGCATGTCACACTCATTGCAAGTGGGGTGCTTTGCTCTGTGCTCTTCCACTTGGGCAGACGTGAGCCCAGTGTCGGCCGACACATTGTAATATTTGAGCACCTGAGCACGGGAAGTGCGTGATCGACACCGGTTGGAATCTCTGTGCTAAATCAGTTGGCCCTTTTGGGCTGACATGCTGGACGCCGTTCAAGCATGGTCGTCATCAGTTCTTGGCAAATCACAAAAAAAAGGCATAGTTCTCAAACCAGAGCAACACCCAGCGCAACTCATGGGTTGTGCAAATCAGAGCCAGCAAGCTCTTTTTCACCGCAGTGATCGCGCAAGCCATCGCCAAACCCTTTACTTTCAATGCAGGCATGGAGGTGTCCAAATGAGGCGTGTCAGGCGATGATGCCGTATTGGCTGAGCAAAGGTACGGAAACTCACGCTCCAGGCCTACCATGTGCAAACCCGAATCTTGAGCTACACAAAGGACCCATTAATCCATGCGGGAAGCACCAGTTTCACTCCCCAAGTTCGCGACCGCCCCGTTGGATTCTCACCTCGAGATCCATGGGTCGTCGCGAGTCGCGAGTCGCGAGTCGCGAATCGCGTGTCGCGACTCGCTTCCGGAGCAGGTCACATGTTCACCATGCGGCACTTCAGTAGCTCACGTGGCACCGCCTCATGGCGGCTCCAAAGCAGCTCCTCCTGCGAGTTGGATAAAGTAAGGCTGACCGTTGAAAGCGGTCAAAGCAATTCGAGGTCAATTCTCAACAGGCGCCAAACAAAAAGAAACATAGTTCTTGTTGGGTAGGTGTTCTCTGAGTGAGTGTTCTTCGCGCAAAAGGGAAAGGATGCCACTGAAAGAACCTGAGCTGTTCCTTGACATCCCCATATTTGACAACGGGGTGGTGCTCCCAAGGAGGGGGAAGGAGGGGGAGCCGAACAACGGGCCTAATTGGGGCTGGACTGCCTCGACCACTAGTCAGCTTTCAAATTTGAGTCAGTTTTGGCGACAACTCGAGGACAACCCAAGAACAGCATCTTCTTGAAAGAAATGTCCAAACAAAGCCAAGACCTATAGACCATCCTCTGGTCAGCAAAGTCGAAGCCGTACAATCCTCCAAAAAACAAAGGAAAACACATCAGCAACATGATACACCATCACGAATGGACAACGCCCGCTTGTGCTACCATCAGGCGCAAGAGAAGCATCAGTTCCACGGAGAACATGTCGTCTCCAATGCACCAACAAGATCGGAATCAACGCCAAGCTGCATGAAGCCCTGAACACCAACAAGGCTTGATGTTTGGCCAAAGCAAACGGTTTGCAGGCAAATAATTTAAACTAGTCTGACCTCAAATCCCCTGCTAAAAGTTTAACTTTTGGCGGTATAGTGGAATAGACGACGCTGAAACTGCGACAAAAAGCGACATTCCAGCCAACCAAAAAAACAAACTCCAACAACAAACAACAGCCATCTACGACTAACTCGTATGAAAAAGTGAAACTCCCCACCTAAAAAACAAAAACGACAAAAGCTGATGGCCGGGAGCCAAGAAAAGTCACACGCCGGGGATGGCATGACTTTCCGAGAATCAAGACACGTTGCCACGGTACCTAGGTCCTCCAGTCGAGAGGTTAGAGTAAGGGTACCCTTTTTTCTGTAGTCTATTTTTAGGGGAACCCTCCCCAAAAAAGGGTAAAAGGGCACTACTGGGGGACCTAGGTACGCAAACTGTTTTACCGGGAAGGCCTGCCCATGCTGGCCCTCCGCGCCGGTTTTGCCATGTGTTGCGCACGCATTTTTTTTTCGCGCAGGCAGAAAGATCACGAGTTAAAGCCCCTGAAATCAAGCAACGACTTCAGCTCAAAGCTCTATGGACATCAAACCTTTCAGAGAGTTGACCCCCCATCCATAAGCGCAAACAATTCAAACACTTCCATCCAAGAACTAACATGCCACCAAACAAATGCATCAAGTCTGCTCCAAGCGTACTCCTGCACAGTGAAGTGAATGACTGGCGAAGCAACCAGAGTCAGCTGCTGTTTAAATGGGGCAAATGTAGTGACCTAACCACGTGCCAGCAAAGAAGCTGCCTAGCTGTGGGGCAAGGAAGGATGCTAGTCCCATAATGCTACTTGATTGGCAATACCGCACAAATGTTCGGCCATGTTTACCTCTCAGAAGTAGGGCGACTGTAATCAAACTAGCTGGCAAACCTCAACAAGAAGTGTAACAGTGAAATGAACAACTGCCCGTCTAACAATCTTGTGTTAAATTTCTTAACGAATAAGGCAGTTTCTAAAAATAGTCGAGCTGATGATACATATCAACATGTTCTATTATCGCCCAAACCCTGCAGCACAACATCTAATCCCTAACATCCAGCCCGAAACTCTGGAGGTACTCTCTCCCTCAAGCCCTACCTATGCACAACATCCTCGCCCAGAACCTAGGGAAAACACCAGTATCAGGCACCTACAAGTCCTGGGTTGCTGTATTGGGCCTGCAAGCCCCCTCGCGCGCTTCTCTTTTTTGTTCCTTTCAAAACTGCCGCTCGCATCAGTGGCCACCGCGAGCCATTTCTGTGGCGCCCGTCACGCATCACGGGCTGCGGGCTCTATGCCAAGCTCGTCCTGCCGGGGCCTGTGGTGAAGAAATCCATGCCCATGGCCAAAGCCGCCAGGAACGAGGGAGCAGTCGCAGGAAGCTCTGCTGGAATCACCTTGGTCCAAAAACCGTCGCCAAGTTGAAACGCCATGGGAAAAACCGCTCCCTTCCGGAAAAAAAAGGGGAAAAACAACAACATGAGTTTGCCCCCTTCAAGGGTCCATTGCAGACAAACACCCAAAGATCTCTCCGGGTGCATTTGGCCGTTGGCCAAAGATGGCAAATGGCTAAGGGTTGTGCTTGGAGATGGTTTCGCAGTGGGCTAACCTTCGTGGGCTGCATCCGCTGATCCGTCTGCCTAGGGCCCAGTTGGTCTGAAAGTCTAGCCATGAGCGAGCCGCTAAAAGGGGGCATTGAGCAATCTAAAACGCTAGCCCAAAAGCTCACAAGCCCCCCGGAATTAAAAAAACATACGCAAGTGAAGGGCCGTCAGAAACCCTCAAACCCGCTTGCGAGGTTTGTGTCGGACAGACTTGAGCTCTGCCCGCGCCACAAATTAATATTACGCAACACTAAACAATCTTCCAACGTACGTTGTTTTCGCAGCACACAGGCCTTGCAACATTGCAAATTCATGGAGGTGTTTGCAATGCTTGAACTTGGCACATGGCACGAGGAGAAGAAACTCATGTCTGAGGCTGTGTTCCAGGATGGTTGAGCTCCTGGCCAAGAACCGGCTATGTATGCTGTGTGATAGAAAGCCGGCGTTGGAGATGATTCTACGTCTTCCCCCCAGACTGACAGAAACTGACACCGCCAAAGCCACCAATACTGTGTTAGCCTCCTGTCAACTACCATGAAGCCTGACGTTTCGGGGTGCTGGTTTGGACCATGTTCCTTTAAACATATCCCTCTGGTGGGTTCCATGTTTGTGGACAGCAAGGTAGTGCTCACCGGTCAACAAGTGTCCTGAAAGTAATGAGAGATGGTCGCTGGTGCGCGGGCGTCAGTATCTGCGTGTGGGTTCTGATGTGCCGCGCGAGCGCGTGCGCCCGTGCTCACAGCTAGTGCGCATCATCATTCACATCTGCAGGCCTGACACCAACGAAACCCCACATATATTTTACCTCACATGCCACACATTCATGCGGACGCTGGCTCCCAACCAACCACATCTGCGCCAGCGCTGCCAGGTCGCTTTGGAGGGGTCAGGGGCATCATGGTACCTCCCGATGATGGGAGCCAAGAATCTAGACCTTGGCACGCACAAACAAAATCCCCCGGAACCTGAGCGCCCTTTTTCCAAAGGGCGCACGGCGGCCTTTAGGCAGCTTGACTCTCAGAACTAATTCGGTCGGCTGGGGCATGGAAGCATGGGGAAGGACAGGTCTAGCCCTAAGTGCTGCGAACACCACTGGCTCAGTTGCCCGAAGCAAGGCAGCTCGCTGACAGCTTCAGTGTCTGGTTGCTGGGCCTGGGTTGGGCTGACTCTCTCTCTCTCTCTCTCTCTCCAGGTTGGGCTGACTGCCACACCAAGTTTATCTTTTACTGCAAATTACGAAACAAAGTAAGTGCAACATGTGGCAACATGTCGCCACCCTGAGTCTCAAACCAACGGCTCTCAAATCGTCGATCATCTCTTGGGGCTAAATGGCTCCTTGGCCCACAGGACTTTCCCATGGCCAAGCCGCATCTTTTGGCAAATTGCTGCTCCCTGCAGAGCCATCTGGGGCGGGATGGTTGTGACGGACTCTGGCTTGGACAGCGCGGCGGCCAAAAAGTCGTAGGCCTGCTTGTTGTTGATGGCGTCCTGGCGGTCTCTTAGGTGGTGCAGGATTTTGTCCATCCACTACGCTAGGGAGATCAGAAACTTGGGACCCCGAACGAAGCCGAGAAGGAAACACACGGCAAAATGCAGGGGAAGCCACAAATGCCAAGCATCAGCCACACCAGTTGCAGTGGGTGCTTCAATATGGTCTAATGTTCTGGCCATCATGTTGTTGCAGCATGGTACGGGACCACGTGGTCGAATTGCAACGGGAAACTGTGTATTGCAACATCTTGGCACCATCACCTGTGCCCAAACAAACATCCAATAGGCCAACCGTTGTTTGCACCACCTCAAGCAAAACCAACATCAAGCCGATCATGCCCTTTCGGTGTATCGGTTTTACTGTTGCATTCTGACTTGCCCAGTCAAGTCAGCTCCGAATCAAGGAGGCAAAAGAAGATTCATCTGTATCCCACGGGCCCTTCAGGCTTCGACATTGGCCCAGGCTTCGACAAGCCCAAAGGCTTGCTCCAATTGCATCCCCTCCTGAAGGCTGAAGCCGCACACAGGCTTTCCGCACTGTTGGGTGGCTGCCTGAAAGAAGGGCAACAGGCGCAGCACGAAGCATCGACCAGATTTTCTTCGCGGAGAAAGTCCTAGAGCAACCCCCTCCTTGACCCTCCCCTAACCACAGACCGCTAAAATTGGCCGAGAGTTGGTTGTCTGGATATGGATGGTGTGGGTTCGCCGGCGTGGGTTCGCCGAACTTCCCTTGCGTATGCTTTCCTTTCGCAGGGCTGGTTTAGCAGCGAAGAAGCAATTTTGAGCTGGAGTGTCAAGTGTTCGCGACTCACATGTAATTAAATTACACCTGCGAGTGGCGAAGCACACCTCCCAGCTCCAAATCAAGCATTGCCGGGACTGCGAACAAGAGTAGTCTGCGAAGCACTTGTTCGCAGCCCCCTCGGAACGCGGAACTCACGCGCCTTTGCGCCTTTGCGCCCGTGACTCAGCTCGTTTTTGTTCAATGGTGCAAAACAAAGGACATTTTTGGCGAGGTCTACAGCCATGCAGCCGTGGGCGCTCACCCGTCACGGAAGCAAGATAGGAACCACCACTTGCAGTAAGACATGTTTTTGCCCGGGCGTATCCTAGCTCCCTATAGCAACAACTTGGTAAAGCTGAAGGTGCTTACGCATAACACACTATTGGGTTCTTGGACATGTGCTAGCGCAAGTAAAGAAAGGTCAGCAAAGAAGCGATCCCTGCCTGGATCTTCGTGTAGACTTCGGCGTGGTATCTCAAATTCGAAACTTCGGCCT